GTATCATGCGTTGACATAAACACGTCTATGCACAACACTGCTTCTCCCACCGTGAAAGTTTCATACAGAGAAACTTTCACATGTGCTGTCAGACTATAAGGCAGCACTTGACAACAACAACATGGATGTGGACTCATTGTGATTTGAGCTCCTGAGCTGCTATCAGCATGGATAAGTGACTGCTTTGAATGAATCTATGATCCAACGAGGCTAATTGGAGTGACCTGCAAAACGACAGCTCTAAAGTTAACATCTGAGGTTTCTGCGCCTGGACACAGGCCTATAAAAGAGTGAACTGATGACAGATGGATGTAACCTGATCACAGCAGGCAAAAAAATAAATAAATAAATAAAAAAATAAAAAAAACACATCAATTGTCTGATGTTTGCATTCAGCGAGAAGGTTACATTTGACTGCAGGTAAATATAGTTAAATAGTTAAATGTTTTTTATCAACTTCTGCTTTGACTAGGTCACTAACGGGAACATGGACACTTTATGCATTTTAATTAATTGTGACAAAGGCAACCAAGGCTCCTGATGAAGCTCTATCACCTCATGCATCCTTTATGTGTTAAGGCAGCACACCGTTCAGACAAAGCAAAGCAACAAAATGTGACGCTGACAATGACCCCTATCCATTTACTCAGATGTTTCCTCTCACATGTAAATCGTTCCACGGATGACGAGTTGTTTGTCTTCTCCGATCTGGTTCTGCTGTGCTAAAACACAAGCAAAGTAATGTCACAACAGAAAGAGTAAACACTTAGTCAACTTGTATGCCTTTAACCACAAACCGAAGCATCACTTTTAATGTGTCGTGGGCTGAAACGGTCCGCATTGTTCAGGAATAAATAAATGCCAATACATCACAAAAGTGTTTTGACATTTTTCCAATACTCCCTTAAAGATGCATCAAGTGTTTTATAAATCGTCACCAAGGTAACAGAAATAGCAGTAGTTTAACTAAGAACACCAATTTCGCACTCTCATGTCGCACTTTGAAAGTGTGAGCAGCTGCATGCTGAATTGAGTGGTGCCAAAACCCCCAGACACAAGCCTTGGTCTCAAAAGGCTCTGCTTCCGCTGAAAATCGTCTCAGGACGACTTTATGTTGTAGAGAGAGGCACGAGTTGTTCGTATTGTAAAGGTTAGGCGTGTGAAATCCATTTTAAAAAATCGGATAGCCCTTTAAATTTTGACTTTTAGAAGGAGGATTCTCACTCAAAACACTCCAGTCATGTGATAGTCAATCCATCTTTTGGACATCTGCCTGATTGATCTACAGCTTCAGGGTTTTTCTCTGTATTTTATTTGTAACGTTCAACCACTGATAAAGATGTGTGTAAAGATCAACTAATAAGTTCTGAATTACAAAATAAAAGTTCTTAGCTACTTAAATCAATAAAGCAAAAGTGCAATAAATGCTTATTTCATATATTACAATAGGTGGCGCTATTTGGGCCACTAATTATTTTTGCCTTAAGGCCATTTTTTTCTTATATATAAATGTGCTTAAATAAAAAGTTCTAGTTTCCTAATTATTTCTAGTTTGAGACCATAAAGTCACAGCTGAAAATTTGTATTTTATTGCTTTGACTCACCTTGACAATGGGCACCTATAATTGTGCCTGGTGGTGGTGTATTTTAAAAGAAACGAGGTCTTTTGAGCCGTGATGTACTTGATGCTAAATTTTGAGAAACTCTAAAATATCTGCCTGTCGTCCATCAACTTGGATATTGGATGTGAAAAGTCAAAAATAAAACAAAAGAAATGCATAAACATGTGAGCTAAATAAAAGATAAAAGCTTAACAGTTTTTGAATTTCGGTTCATCACCTACCGCTGGCTGCATGATGTTGTCACTTTTGATCATTTGCTCATGTTTTAATGCATGAAGACACAGATAAGTGTCATAATACCGCGATAGTCACACTGAATTTCATCACACTGCTGAATGGTTTGACAAGCTGAGTGTTTTGAAAGGGAACTTTGCTTTTCTTTTATTTGTGGGGGGGAGGGGGAAATGGCAAGAGAACGTGTCTGGATTGGATTGTCGCTGGTGTTTCAAATGTTTCAGACATGTAGTGGGACAAAGAGACTTTTTAAAATCATTTTTTAATAGTAAAAAATGTACGAACATTAGGTCCCTCTTATCTAAAACGACTCGACATGCACGTAAGTCTGCAGAGTGTCTGCTATTCTCTCCCTTTTCGCTGCCGTCCTGCTTTGATCTGTGGGCCCCGTCTGGAGGAGAGCGAGTCATTCATCACTGGATTCAAACACTTCCTTCTTGGTTTGCGTTGTGCCCTGACCTGTCCTTTCGCAGTCCGCGCAGAGAGAGAACAGAATAAATATGCCACCATATTGCTGGATGAGCTCTGACTTACGGCGGGAAATAACTCTAAATCAGCCAAACCTCTCAGCTTTTACCAAACTATTTCACCCTTTCCTAAAGGGGTTTGGTTGCACGGTAAGCTAAAACGGATTTTCTTGCCGTTTTTGTTAATTGTATATATGATAGAAATGTGTTTACAAGTGGGAATTCTGCTCCTCGTTGTTTTGTTGCCTGGTTCACTGCAGTGTCCTGACGGTGAACTGGCACATCATTAAAGGGGAATGCTGAGTTTACATTGACGTTTCTGTTTGAACAACTTCATGACACGAGCTTCATCGTGTGCAAGACATGCAGAGCCCTGTGATTGGTCAGATGTTGTGGCCGTGTTTTATGCAGTAATGCGCTCGGACAGCGATGTTGATATTTTGCTTCAACTAGTCTGCTGCCACTATGGTTTTTCTGCAATATGAATACTTTTAAGTTGTATTTAACCAATGCAGTGAGGACGTATGCACATTTGAACGATTCTTTACTAAATAAATCTAAAGTCTTTTAGCAGAAAGTCTGGCACTCTCCCTGTGATCACTTCATAAGAGCAAAACGGATGATGCAGGAAGGGAGCAGGCATCCTTCCTGCATCGAGCCAAGCCAGGCTGAGCTTCATATTATCCATGTGCTGTCTTCATCTTCCCTTGCCTAGATAGAAGCAGAAATCATTATGAATAACTGTTTTGTATAGAAAATTGATTTTGAATCAAATTATGGCTCCAGAAAGCAGAATTGTGACATACAGTAAAATATCCCCACTTCTAATTTTTATAATCTACATATGCAAAGAAACTGGTACTTTAGATCAAGTTTGGGTTAAACTTCACTGCTTGGTCTTTCTCAGACTGATTGGCTAGAATAACAGAAACAGTTCGAGAGACATCACTTAAACACAAACAGTGGCTCACTCCAGATATACCGTATATGTAGTTCTGCTTACTTAAACAAGATTGTTCAAGGTTTTTTTATTTATTCAGTGGAAAAAAAGCATTTTTCTATTTTTATTTGGGAAATGGCCTTGTGTAGATAATGTCTGTAGATAATGTGACCAAATGAAGAAAATAACTTCAATTTTATGGGACAAGCAATGTTAAACCACCTTTTAAAAACCTCCTGTTCGTTAGCACTCTTGTCTGAAAATAAAGTATTTTGTCTCAGATTGATAACACGCAGTAGGTCTGCGATAAAGATGCATCTTGGCACGTCTTCAGATGTGTTAATGGCGCATTAAAATTTATGCATTTCAAAGAGACTAAAATGACCCGAGGCCTGTTCATGACCTGCTGTTGACGATTTTCATCAGAATCCTGGAGACTATTTTTTCCTTCCCTTGCATGCACATGTTAGCATGTTTCTGTCAAACTCCTTTCCTGACTCATGTGTGATCCTGTAGACGTTTGTCAGCCCAGCGGAGTCACGCCTGTGCTCCCCAGAGATATTGCGGCACATCTCCTATTTTCAACATTTTCCACGACACATTTGTATTATTCCTGTGGTGAGAAGAACCAGGGCGACATCAGCTACGTTGTTTTCTTCTTATCCTGGGGCTCCAAGCTGAGCAAGTCTCAGGCAGCCAAATAGTGATTGTTCAAGCTTGTGTGCTGGATTCAGAATTAGAGAAAAAAAAAAAAAAAAAAAAAAAAAACAGCACCACATTTTTTAAATTTTATTTCTGGATTTGGAAATAATACTTTTATAAAAATTGCTCTACTTTGTTCATGAACCTAAATACTTGTCAAGAAACAGAATTTGAGTTTCCGTTCTTATTCTCTGTGTTGATAACCCAGAATTTAAAAATAAGCCTCTTATTGATCTGCCTGTTCTGTTTCTGCAGCAGCGCCATGCAGCTTGTGTGTTGCTTTGCTAAATTAATATGACAGTCACTGAACCTTGATGTTGTTTCCCCCAAAACCTCATTTGAATAAAATTAAACTTTAAAATGGATATAATTAAAATACCCAGGGCTCAACACAAGTCAAACTTGGATATAACTTAGGTTGCTCTAGAAAGAAAACGAAGCAAGATTTTCTACAAAATCTTCAAATGTTCTGAACATAGAGATTTGTGATCTGAGTTTTCTGACCATATGCCTGTTTTTTTTTGTTTTGTTTTTTAAAAGTTGTACTTGCTTATACAACTTTAAACCCCGCTGCTCACCTTCATCATATTTTTAACTCGTCCACTGGTGCTCAGTTTTCTGCTGTTTTCAATCAGATCACTGAGCTGGTAGTAAAACCGAGGAGCTCAGTTCATGGTTTTACTGTTCAGACAGAGAAACCTTTGAACTCTGTCACTCCAATCAAAATCAGAAAGCCCAAAACTAACTCTGAATGACATGACAGGATCAGTCAGGCGGGAATACGTACTCCAGCTGCAGACTGCAGAACGGACCGGGGGCCGGTTTGGACATTTCTCTCCACCCACTTTTACACCCTGGCCCAGTCTGCAGCTCAGACCTTTGTGATGGGAATTTGGTCAAGAGCAAGAGCAAGGCTTTATGTCAGGAGAAAATAAAAGCAAATACTGAATCTGGTAAGAAACATAACGAGAGGGGCTATTATTTGGAAGAAATTAATGAATCTTTATAATAATAATGGCTTAATAAAAGAGATTAATGTGTCAGAGCTGAATTTATTTAGCTTTAATATCAACAGGTATGTGTTGCAAGATCTAACAAACATAAAAAAAAGGAAATGATAAAAAGAAAAACACCACCACAAAGGAAATCTAAAACCCAAACACCCCAGGAACTTGACAATGGCTCTTTTAATTTCACTCGGGTCGCAGCTGCACACTTCTGAGCGCCGCCGTTTGTTGTCTTCTCTGGAACATTTCTCATAATTGATTCACCTGCACCTAGACCTGCAGCATTGTATTACAGCAGCCTTGTTCACCTGCTGGTGTTTCTTCTTAGAATGACACAAAATGACAAAAACACTTGTACGAAAAAGAGTAAATGAAGTAAAAAAAAAAATAAAAAGACAACGGTTAAAGAGGAGAAAAGCATCAGAGACAAAAGAAGTAAGAGCAGCAGCTGTGTGTGGGAGGATCAGAGTATTAAGCAGAGAGGGGGAACGATGCTTTGATGGACAAAGGAAACTCAATGTTTGCAAAGGTTCGTTACTCTGATAACGTAGGGACACACTATATGTAGAAGCTGCAGCCCCGTCTGCAGAAGCTCTGAGTGCAGCACAGAGATTTAAAAAGCTGTCTCCATGGAAGAAAGCCCAAATAGGATTTCTTGCCCAAGTAAATTGGCGCAATCAGCAGAACACATACATCATTATTCCCAAAGCTCAGCTGTGGTCTTGAAATGGATAACACAATTACGGCATCGGGGTGACGACGTAGAGCAGGGTGTCACTTCATCTACGTTGGTTCGCAACATTTTGTCACAAGAGTGGATGCTGCAATTCAGGAGAACACTCACGCTTCAGTCGGCCAATACCGATGTTAATGCCGATATATTGTGCATCCCGAACACACACATACTTTCAAGTGCCTCACACAGAGAACATCAGCCAGGCAGTGTCACCATTCTCCATACCATGGTCTCCTTCTTAATCTGAAAAAAGAAAATATGAAAAGAATTTGTGGCATACTGACAAATTTAGACCAAATCATGTCCAAGCCATTATTTTGCAAGAAGAAATAATTTTATACTCGAGGGGCAGTTTGTTATGTGTGTGCAATGTCTTGAAGACAGTTTGGGAAATATGTTTCATTTGTAGCATTTTGAAAGAAAATTAAATTAACTCCATTGTTTTTTTGTGTGTGGCTTTCTTTTTGCCATATAAACTAGAGTTGTGGAGCTCCACCAGAGTTACTGTTGGCCTCCTGGCAGCTTCTCAGACCAATGTTCTCTGTAGATTTTACTGAAGGTTCAGCATGAGTAGCTAGGACTTGGTATGTTTTGCAATTTGGTTTCAAATATATTGCGAAGCTTTTCATCACAATATTCAGTTTCTTGACGTCAGCCTGCTGAACTCTGCTGTGCAGACTTCAAAGTGCTGCTACAGTTTGCAAAATAACAGATTGTTTGCTACTCCAGCTTTACATCTTTCACTAGTACTTTTTTTTTTTCCACCAACGTAAAGCAAGTTAAATATTTCACCTCCCGTGCAAATGAAATGGAATGATTTTAGCAAATGAAAAAGAAAAAATCCAGAAATTATGTTTTTGCTGATTGCAAAGTTAAAGTTTTTTTTTTTGTTTTTTTTACAACCTCCAAAGCTTCTTAGTTTTTTTCTGCTTGGTTTCATTTTAGTGGCTTATTTGCACTTGTGGTCAGGTCAAGTTTCACTTGACTGTTTACTGTAGTGCTGAGCACATTGTACATTTCCATGAGTCAGGGAGCTCATGGAGCCAGAAAACAATCACATCTCCAGCTTAACCTGGATCTTTGACCCGTCAGAGGTCAAATGTTTTACGCAAACAGTGGTTTTATGTGAAATAGCAGAGAACATTCACCTTGAACAGGTGCACAAATCTGTGCGTGCTTTCTAAAAAGAAATCTGTTTTACCTCGAACAGATAAAAATGGAATGTTCCCCAACGCCGTTGGGGAGTCAGCGAGGGCTTCAGTGTGTTGAGAGAAGGTGCTAAATCAGGGGTGTCGTATTCTATCCCTGGAAAGACGGAGTTCTTATTAGGCGTTTCCAACACAACTTTAGTTATCAGGCTCTTCTCCCAGTTTTGTTTTGTTTTTTTTATCCATGAGGCAGACGTCCTGTCTACTTTTTAGATTTCCTTGTGGTAAAGCTTGTAGTCAGTGGCTAAGGTTATCATTACCCATCTCTATAGCTATGCTGCTAAAGGCTGCTGGATGATATATTGACCACTCCTCTAGTAGTACATTCTTCCTGCTACTCTCCAGTTTTACTTTTTCTGCTGGTGATTCACCTTTTAACTTTTCGTTCTCTCTCTGTGGGATGTTTTTCTCTTCCGTTACATCTGTCCTGGTGCTCTGTTTAGCTGTGACACCGTCCTGTGAGGAGACATTGACTGAGCTACAGCTGCTATGACGTCATGCTCTTTTCCACTAGATCCGGGGTCGTCAACGCCAGTCCTTGATAACTGTAGTTCTGCAACTCTTAGATGTGTCCCTGGTCCAACACACCCAAATCAAATGGCTGCTCTGTATGCAGTCAAGGTTTTGAAAGTCTTGCTAATCACCTGATTATTTGACTCAGGTGTGGTGAAGCGGACTCATCTAAGCCTCGAGGACTGGAGTTGGAAACCCCTGCTCTAGATGATACATCTGTTTCTGTCTTTATGTATTCAACACTCTCTCTTAGGCATACCAGTAGAATAAGCTGTTGCTTCAGCTAACTGTGTGTGCTGTCTTTTATCCTTTAGAGCAGTGGTCCCCAAACTTTTTTTTTCCTGTGAGGGCCACATAGCGTTTCCCTTCTCTGGTGGGGGGGCCGGA